GCCAAAAATTGTAGCATTGATAAAACAAAACTTTCAGGCCCAGTACTGCCAGTTTCATGGTGCACAGAATGACGTCGCGCGTGTTATTGTAGCCATATAATAAATAAAAATATTCTCATCTTTTTATTCATGTTTATTAAGATGAATGACCTTTATGGAGTGACCAAGTCTTCTTAAGTACAAACGAAAACCGAACAGAAGATCTGTAACAAAATAGCGTAAATGGTGGCTTCGATTTACTGTATTTCCTCTACGGGGAAATTCATAAAGCATACAATTCCAGAGTAAGAGTAATCCTAGGTCAAATCAGGAGTAAGCCCCTCGCCCCCCGGAAACAAACGGAGCATCCAAGAAGACCCGATACAGTACATCTCACGTTTCAGATTTTTTCTTTTTTAATCGGCCCGTAGCCAGTAATGAGACATCACTACTGATTCTTTAAAATCTATTCCACCAAACAAGATTAAAATGTCCGATCACGTGCAGACTTTATTTATCTATACATACACCCTACCCTGGTAACAAGTAAAGTGAGGCTGACCACGCCTAGTCGAAATCCTCATACCTTTAAGGCACACAGCTAGAGAAATGAAACGCTTAGAAATTATTGCTAACAGCAATTGGCTCTATCAAACGTTCTACAACGTTGGTGTACCCTGGTCTAACAGTCTATCATAATCACAGATGCAAATTAAGATGCTATTATAGAAAGTTAGTCAGTTATACAGCCAGGCCATCATATTGCATTGTAAATAGTGTTATACGCGTTGTAAGACGCACTTTGTCTCTTCTCTCTTTCTTAATTCCTTATCATGTAATTATGTACTTCCTGTGACTTACATCAATGTGATTGAATAAAATAAATGATCGTTATGGCGCTCTAAGACAGTTCTACAACGTTGGTATATTATATGGTGGTGTTCTACCAGAAACAAAGTCTATGATCAGGTTGTTAGGATTGGTGATCGTCGTGGCCCTCTAACACAGTTCTAAAAGTTCACCGGTCTGATCTTCATCTCAGCTCTCTTTGCAGAGTAGTAATGTCCTTTCCATGCATACCAGTTGACACCATCAGCATCAGATGAATGTGAACCATGGTGGTACAAACCATTCAGATTTGATTCATGACAGCTTGTGTACCACCAGGCTCCTTTGCAGGACACAGCACAGTTGCTAGATGTTGCGCTGTCATTATCTTGGTCTTTAGTGGTAAATGGATGGCCACGATGCCCAGAAAAAGAGTTGCCAGCGGTTCCTAGAATTAATAATACAAGAGAATTTTACCAGGGAGTTTTGAAATTTTAAATAGAAAATCTGAATATAATGTGAAGTATTGAAGTGTAAGAGAAAGGTCGCTTTGGGGAATTTAAGCTGTAGAGATAACTAAGGAGCATGACGAAGTCAGGGAAAGCCCATAAAGACATATTATGAATATTAAACGATAATAATAAAACATTGAATGCAATTTTTTAGAGGCGACGTGTCATTAGTTCACCTGAATAAGTTCCTAAACTAAGCTGGTACTTAGTCCTCTCGCTTGTAACAGCAAACATGTCGTATTCAGCGTAAGCGGTTTTGCCTGTAGTGTCCTCCAGATCAACTCGAAGCCTGTTATTTGATTTGGTCAGCCGGTGAATCTTGTCCAATCCAAGCCAAAACTCGCCATTCAGGTTACCAAACCCCCGCTTGTAGTCAGCCCAGCCGCGGTAGAAATCAACCGAGCCGTCCAGTCTCTTTTGGAACACTGTCCACCCCCCTCCGGTTGTTGTTTGGTCACAGAACACATCAAAGGCACCTTGATCATCAGGGTCGATTGTATAAACACCGCTGATTCTTTCGCCAGCTTTGTAAAGCTCAGCACAGTTCTTTTTAGCTGTTAAGAAAAGATTGCCTTATATTATTTTCAATTGTGATTATGCGCCGGTTTTGAAACCCGCACTCCCTAGTTACACAATTTACTCTATTTCTCTCCCGCTGTCCGCCCCTCCCATCCCTAACATTATAAAGCCTCCTCCCCCGGGCCTTACGAGGTTCTGCAATGTACGTATTTCTAGTTATGAAAATGACAAGGATGTTCGACGCCTAGCATCTATAGGGAAAGAATTATTGCAGATTTTGGTCTCACTTAGTATGTTTAGGAAAGAAAGGCAACATTTCTATTCATGAAGGCATCGCTTAGTGTTATTCGCAAAGAAATGGATAAATGAGATCACACTGTGTTAGAGCACGGCTCCTTTAACCTTTTAAACCCTAAGATTAAAATTGAGATTCTCATTTACTGGCCTTATACTTTTTCAATAGAAGTAGTGGGGAGAATTTGTTGAAATATCAGATAGAATCATCTTCCCTGATCATGTACTCAATTCTCACGACCACTCTGTTTTCTAAAGCATTGATATTACAAGGAGAAATTTGATGCTGATCACTCTTGGGGCTCAAAGGGTGAATTTTGGGATAAAATAATTCCTGCGCCACGCCCAGATTGGTCTCCTTTGGGGGAATAAGAGTCTCCTCAGAGGTTAGAATATTATTCTATATGCAAACGATTTCTTAATGAGATCACCAGAGCACAATTGATATCATTTTGAGAAAACTGCGTTAATGAACTAAGTCATCGAGGCAGCGACTTTTTGAATCCGGATTATCGTATCTTGGTTCGGTTTTTCACAGACCGACATTCTTTTAAAACCGGGAGAAGTTGCTAGTCTCTATTTTGTTCTACTTTGTACTAAGTTTTAAAGAAACTGGGTTAAGGCTGTTTTTTATATGGGAATTACTTGCAAGAGATTGTTAGCCCTAGGTAGGAACGTGATCAAGAATTCCTTCCTTCAGCCACACCACAGGAGGAAGTGCTTTGAGTCAAACCTCTAGCCTTTCTATCCACAGCCCAAAAACCTCACGTACAGCTTCGAGTTATGAAATCTGTTTTAAAGATAAATAAGTGGTTATCATGCGATTCCCTGTTTATCGAAGTATTAAAAACTCTTATGATCATCATGATAACACGAAATAAATCCCAAGTACTGAATTGCACTTAATTAGTTGGTCTAGGCACCTGACCGCTAGGAATATATACCTTTCTCATTAGTCTTGTTTCCTTTTAGAACATTGATGTCAGTCTGTACTTGAGTAAGTTGTTCCTTTATTTCTTTCAGCATTGTAGTAATCTTCTCGTTGGGCGCCTCGTAGAAATACACATTATTGCAATGTTGGGTTTGATTAGGCACCGAGGCAGCATCTGCAAGTCTCTTTGCTGGTTTAGCGAAAGTTTGCTTCCTGCTCACAAACAACAGTAAGATCAGAAGACTCCAACTTGAAGACACAAAAACACAAGACATCGTGCTTCTTCACTTTTCCAACTTTGAATGGCAATGTAAAGTCCTAATAAACAATTGAAAACCGAGATTTAACTCAGTTATGATCTTATCCAACACAATGTTTTTCCATATGTTTTTTTGTGCTATTGGTGGATACCAGACATTTCTGGACTTTGGAATCTGATATCTGAGCATATCTTGTATTACAGAGTAACTCAGGATAATAAATTCCCTCACATATTGTCATAGAATGCCCAGTTAATAATAGTTACTTCTTTTATGCTAATTGTTTTTGTTTAAGTATTTTTTTTACCGTGTACGCTACTACGTAATTTTTATTGTTGCAGTTGGTACTTTATTGTTCGTTATAAAACTAATTAGGAAAAATATTCATTGTAAGCCGTTCTATTGGTTGTAAGCCGTTAATTACTAGATCGGAATTTTTACAATAGTCCCTTTTTGCCACACCTTGCATTTGCATGGGATTTGGAAGTTTTAGATGTTAAGAAGGAGCTGCGTCGCTAAAAAAAGTCAGTGCAGAGGGCGCGTTCAGAGAGACTGTAAGAGAGAGACCTTGAATCACAAGCCGTTCTACTGAAATCCCTTCAGCAAAGGCGTCTCTTTTAACTTCCCCGAAAATTGCTTTTATAAATGAGCATGAGAGTATTTTGGGGGCTTATAATAATACTATAATTCTAATGATGATATTAATTTACTGAACTTATTTGGGTTGATGATAATCTATTTGCTTTAGGGTTAATGGCAAAGAAATGTCTTAATTGATAGAAAACAAATGACGCTGTACTGTGATGAAGCATGGTCTCCTTTAGGGGTCCAAGAAAGCCTTAGACACGCTTAGATTGCTCTCCTCTGGGGGTATGGGAATCCGGGGAATCCCCTCCCGGGGGGCAGGATCCCTGTTACTAGTAATTATAGATATTTAGTAGATTATACTACATCGTCTGTAACTGCATCATGCAAACGAATACTTAATGAGATTCTGTGGGCACAACTGATATTTTTTTTATGAGAAAACTACTTTAATGCACTAAGTTATCGAAGCAGCGACTTACGTTTGCTTTATCCGGATTATCCTAATCTTGGTTGGGGTTTTCAAGGACCGACATTCACTTAAAAACAGGAGATGCTACTAGCCACTGTTTTTTCTACCTTTTACTAAGTTTTAAAGAAAGTGGACCAAGGCTGTCTTTTTATATGGGAATTACTTGAACGAGTTTGTTAGCCCTAGGTAGGAACGTGATCAAGAATTCCTTTCTTCAGCCACACCACAGGAGGAAGTGCTTCGAGTCAAAGCTGTAGCCTTTCTATAAACAACTCAAAAACCTCACGTAGGGGTTTGAGTTAGGACATCTGGCCCCGGTTGTTCAAATGTTGAATAGCGCTATCCACCGGATAAATCGCTAAGTATCCGGTGGATAAGTATTAGGGAATTCATTTGTGTTATCCACTGGATAGCGCTATCCACCGGATAAATCGCTAAGTATCCGGTGGATAAGTATTAGGGAATTCATTTGTGTTATCCACTGGATAGCGCTATCCACCTTTTGAACAACTGAGGCCTGTTGTAAAGTGGTAATTATGCGATTCCCGCAAGTATTTTCATAACAAAAGCTCTTACGATCATCAACGACTGAACGGCATTTGATAAGTGGGTCTAGACACACATACACAGGAAGGAATTCATACCTTTCTCATTAGTCTTGTTTCCTTTCAGGACAGTTGATGTCAGATTGTACTGACAAGGATGTTCCTCACCTACCATAGGGAAAGCATTATTTCAGTTTTTGGTCTCACTTTATAGGGTGTTCAGAGGGAGAGCCAATATTTTTACCCCAGAAGGTATCGCTTAGGGTTGTTCGCAAAGAAATAAGAAATAACTAAATGAAAAAGAAATATCGTCATAATGTGTTGGAGTATGGCCACCTTTAAAGGAAAAAAACTGAATGCAAGGCTGGCACTACGGCAAAGGTATAGCTCTGGCCCAGAGGAAGGCTAATTTTGTTAGCCGAAATATTGCGCTATAATAAATCAGCCCTTTGCCGTAGTGCCAGCCCTGTATTCAGTTTTGTTTTATTTTACACTTTAAGTAACGCCGTCTGGCTATAGCATCTCTTTGATTAGAGATCCGGCAAGAGGAACCAGTCAGTTATATTTACGTGTTGCATGACCCTCTGCATTCAAACAGTTTTTTCACCTTTAGAGGTCAGCTTAAGCCACACCCAGATTGGTATCATTTGGGGGTATGGGAGTCCCTTGTTACTAATAATTGTGGACATTTAGAAGGTTATTCTATATCGTCCTTGACCGCATCATGAAAACGGTTAATAAATGATGTTATGTGGGCACAATTGACATGATTTTGACAGCACTAAGTTATCGAGGCCTCGACTTACGATTTGCCTTATCCAGATTAACCTATCTTGGTTCGGTTATTCACCGATCGACATTTACAGTCGTGTGATAAAAACGGGAGATGTAGTTAGTCTCTACTTTTTGTCTACCCAGGACCCAGGTTGTCACCCTATATGGGAACTTGGAAGAGTTTGTTTGCCCTGTAGTAAGGAACGTGATCAAGAAATTCCTTCCTTCAGCTTCACGGCTATATGGAGAAAGTATTTCGGGTTAACTTAGCTGTAGCCTTTCTTTTAACGGCTCAAAACCCTCACGTTGAAGTTGCTCTTATGATATCTGGTTTAAAGAGATTAATAAATGAGTTGTTGTGCGATTCCCAGTTTATCAGAGAATTAAAAAGCTCGTATGATAATTGTGATAACACGAAATATATTCCGATGACTGATTTCCTTTTGATAAGTGGGTCTAGACACACACAAAGACCGTAAGGAGTTCATACCTTTCTCATTAGTCTTGTTTCCTATCTTTTTATTGATGTCATTTTGTATTTGACCCAGTTGTTCCTTTATTTCTTTCAGCATTGACGCAATTTTCTCGTTGGGCGCCTCGTAGAAATACACATTATTGCAATGCTGGATTTTGTTAGGAACCGTGGTCGCACCTGCAAGTCTCTTTGCTGGTTTAGCGAAGGTTTGGTGGCTGTTCACAAACAACAATAAGATCAGAAGACTCCAACTTGAAGACACCGAAATACAAGACATCGTGCTTCTTCACTTTTACTACGTTGAATGGCAAGGAAAAGGGGTGTCCTGTAAACTAAGACCTAAGACCTGCGCGAAAAAAGATGAGCAGACAAAAATTTATTTCCTGATCCCGCGAGAAGGAAATCGATGGCCCTCGAGAAGGGTTAAAGGGAAGTAGGTACATACTCAGTGTGTATTGAATCTGACACGTGCCGGTGTTTTCGGGACACCCCAGTGCAAAGTCCAAAAAGACAATTGAAAACCGGAATGCAACGTATCCTTCGAACATAATTTTAAAAAAATGTGCCATGCGGATACTAGCCTTTTTTGGTCTTTCTAATGTGATAAGTAGTATTGCACTGTAAATACGGATTAGAAATTCCGTCACTATAAATTACAATTTAACCAAACTAAATTCTTCTTTATGATTTTTTTATCGATACTAAATATGCTTTGAAGACACTCTTTAGTATTCGCAAAATTATAATGTGGAGGGTTTTCCCGTCCTAATCCCTATCTCATTCTGAGATGTCAAAGTCGGGACAATCTGTTATTATTATTATTGAGTGTTTCTCTAATAGGGTCCTGACTACCTGCTTCAGTGGTAGATCCGAGTGCGCGAGGGTCGGAGGAGTCGGAAAAGCCGTAATGATATCCGTCCTGTCTGTCGGCAACTTCGTACCCAGGCATTTTACCTTTTCCCATATTTTAAAGGAAAAGGCCTGAGGACGAGGTTGGTCCGACTGATGGATTCTTAGGCTATGTTGACACTATACCGGAATGGTAGAACACCTATCCGATATGTGACTCTGCTTTAGAGATTGGCGCCGCGGAGCTTCTTCGCGACGCCACAGCCGTTCTTTTGTGTTAACAGGAGCCCTATCCCGTATGATTTTCGTGGTGGCGCAAAAGCTATCTGGTATAGCAGTGGCGGATCTAGGGGAAGGACCCGTGAGGCCCGCCCCCCCTTATTTTGAGCCTAAACTGAGGACAAAAGGGCCAAAAAAAATTTGGAGACTCCCCCCCCTCTCCCCCAAACCCCTTATCTGAAGGTCTGGATCCGCCACTGTATAGTATCAACATAGTCTTAAAAACTAGTAGTTAGAGCTACTTACCTAACTGATTTCAAACTAAAATTATTACAACTTTAATCTGGTAGCTTAAAATATGAAACTTGCGTTCCACGTTGCCTTCTTGAATACTTGTTCAAATTTACGAAATCTGTAAAAAACAATGATGGCTTAAACACTTATGATATTGATAAGAGACGAACGATTCAAAACTGGGTACTAAACCCTTATCACGGCACAAGGGTCTACGTAGAAAAAAACTGAATGTGTAACGAGGTGGAACAATGTGAAGCATTGGCTTCAACAGTGTGCATAAGTTGGACCCCTCCCCACATTCTCAACAAAATTTTGTGGTTCCGCCCCTTCTGCTTACATAGTCATGGTGGGTTGTAAGAGAAGGCGCCACTAAATGGGTAGTACCAGGCAAAATTTTGGAGGTTTAAATGTACTAATTAAGTAGACATGTCTCAATTTGCTTCTCCATGTACGAGCGGAGGTGGTCATAATGCCTCTTAGACCACGTGGAAACGGACGCAACAACTCCCGACATTGTTGGCTCAACAATGTTGGGAGTTGTTGCGTCCGTTTACCCGTAGCTAAAAGTTTGACCGGTTTCGAACTTTGCGCAATAACTCCCAACAACACTCAACAACATGCAACAGGGTGTGCAAACGGGCGCAACATGTAACATCCAACAATATTGCGTCCGTTGCACAGAGCTTTAGTAACACATTTGTCGTTAACTCAGCGGTTACCTGGGATATCGTAGACAAAAAATGTATAACAGATTTACCCGCACCACCATATACACCCACTTTCACCTTGAATAAATTGATTTGATAATGGAACATCCATTCTCTGGTTGCTCAAAAGTTGCCAAGCACAATCGGGAAAGGCCTTATTGTAGACTCCCTCTCTCCTGGAAACAAACGCGTCAGGGATCAGTATTTCAAAGGAACGCACCTCACGTCTCAGACTCAGACTAGTCTCTTTAGAACCGTCCCGTAATTCAAAACGACTGCCGGCCTTCAGCTGGTTAAAAAAATACGGAGTTGATTTAATTCTTTAAAAATCTATTCCACACGACAAGATTCACATGTCACGTTGCTTTATTTATCTCTCAATATACCCTACCGAGTGAAAGTTAAGTGAGGTCGGACACGCGTACTCGAAAATTCGTATACCTTAAATCACACAGCTAGAAAATTATAACGCTTAGAAACCCTTTTTATGCTAACAACAATTGGCTCTATCAATAATTCTACAACGTTGGTATACTATATGGTGGTGTTCTATCATAATCAAAGTCTATGCTCAGCTTTTTAGGAGTGGTGATCGTTGTGACCCTCTAAGACAGGTTCTAAGAGTTCACCGGTCTGATTTTCATCTCAGCTCTCTTGGCAGAGTAGTGATGTCCTTTCCATGCATGCCAGTTGACACCATCAGCATAAGATGAATGTGAACCATGGTGGTACATACCATTCAGATTTGATGAATGACAGCTTGTGTACCACCAGGCTCCTTTAAATGACCTGGCACAGTTTTCTTTGGAGGCGTTATCATTATCTTGGTCTTTAGTGGTAAATGGCTGGCCACGATGCCCAGAAAAAGAGTCGCCAGCGGTTCCTAGAATTAATATTAAATAAAAGAGAATTTTACCAGGAAGTTTTGAAATTTTAAATAGAAAATCTGAATATAATGTGTAGTATTGAAGTGGAAGAGAAAGGTCGCTTTGGCGAATTTAAGCTGTATAGATAACTAAGGACCATGGCGAAGTCAAGGAAAGCCCATAGAGACATATTATGAATATTAACTGACGATAATAATGAAACATTGAATACAATTTTTTAGAGGCGATGTGTCATTAGTTCACCTGAATAAGTTCCTAAACTAAGCTGGTACTTAGTCCTCTCGCTTGTAACAGCAAACATGTCGTATTCAGCGTAAGCGGTTTTGCCTGTAGTGTCCTCCAGATCAACTCGAAGCCTGTAGCCCAGCCGCGGTAGAAATCAACCGAGCCGTCCAGTCTCTTTTGGAACACTGTCCACCCCCCTCCGGTTGTTGTTTGGTCGCAGAACACATCAAAGGCACCTTGACCATCAGGGTCGATTGTATAAACACCGCTGATTCTTTCCCCAGCTTTGTAAAGCTCAGCACAGTTCTGCTGTTTAGCTGTTCAGAAAGTGATTACTGTTACAATAGACTCCCTTAAGGACACCTCTATAAGACAGACACCTCTGTAAGACGGACACCTTGAGTTGGTCCCTGCCTTTCTTTACTCCATTTATTTGACTCTCTATGAGACGGACATCTCTCTAAGACGGGTACCCGGAGAGCGGGTACTCCTGGGAATTATTGGTGGGGGTGTGCAGCCCGTTTCTCCAAATCCTGACCCTATTTAGCACCCAAAAATGTGATTTTCCACACCCGTTTTCAGACATGGCCATTAGGCAGAAATTATTTTATCGTTACTTAGATGAGAAGGCAAACAAAAAAATTCTTCAAATCCATTTCGAATTTCTCTTTCTTTCTTGTACTCATTTGGAATAGAAACAATAACTACGTTCATACACTCCCATAGTTCCCTCGAAAACCATTCCCGATTCCAGACCAAAATGGGGAAAGTGTATACTCGTTTTCAGACCAAAACGGCGCAAAAACCCCACCCGAGGGGGGCGGCACACACATGTATAGCTTATATAAGGGAGTTCCCCCCGGGGAGCGGGTACTAAGTGCCCGTCTCGAAGGTCTCCGTCCAGAAGAGAGTTAACTGTACACCAAAACTTTATTAAGGAGTCAACTTCTACTATGGGGCCTCTTGATAAAAAGAATCGTTTTACTTTTTTTCTGTTAGTTACAAGCTCACTCCGATCTAACAAACTCGTGGTCGCAATTTCGGGACCTTCAGTTTACACAATACAATGCCATTACAACTGGCTCTATACCAGTGAACTAGGTTTAGACTAATTTTGTTTATGTACATATTGACTGTTTCAGCTGATTATTTCGTGGTACTATATTATAGTAGGATTTACAATGACTCAGCTAATGACTGAACCAGAGACAGACAGTGCAGAGAAAACTGATTAATTGATTCCCCATGAAAGATTAGATATTCTAGACCAAATTCCTTTGATTCCAATCCTCATCCCAGACTAATCTACTAAGAAAACCCTCCCTTTACAGCGCTATTTTCTTATGTAGCCCATGATATTTGAAGGTATCTGCAAGACAATAAACATTGATAAAAAATCTAGACTAGAAATACAGATTAAAAGGAATTCATACCATTCTCATTAGACTTGTTTCCTTTTATGATATTGATATCGGTTTGTAGCTGACCCAGTTGTTCCTTTATTTCTTTCAACATTGTCGCAATTTTCTCGTTGGGTGCCTCATAGAAATACACGTTATTGCAATGCTGGGTACCGATTGGAGATGAAGTCGTCTTTGCCAGACGGTTTGCAGGTTTAGCTAAAGCCTGGGTCTTTACCAAGACGTAGAAGATCATCAAACTCCAATAAAATGTAACAGAAATACGAACCATTGTAAGAATTAAGCTGAGACGTGAGGCAGTGAGTTCCGTTTGGAACGGAATAATGAAAGCCAGTGACGCTACGTATCTTTTTGCGCCAAATGCGTTTTTTTGTTGTTGCGAATTTGTTGCCTTATACGCCCTTGTTCATTGTTAACAAGGACATTATTTGAGTCTTATCGACAACATCTTAAGCAAATATTTGCACTCTATGTTAATAATCACAGATATTTGTTTATAAACAAATACACTGTCACTGAGCAGGGTTAAGATATATTGTTGGAAATATAGTTTGAATGGCATGGTTCACATATGGCCCCTTATTAACAAAAGAAACTGGCCGCAGATGTTCAAAAGGTAGATAGCAGTATCCACTGGATAAATCTCTTTCCAGCGGACAGCGCAATTGGTTTCCCTAAAAAATCTGCCGGATAGTGATTTATCGTAACTACAAAGATTCACTAGGCAGTTTTGCGTCGCTTATTAACTCACTCTCTTTTGTTGACGTAAGCAACAAAATCAGACTGACGAAATTCTTTAACGGGGTTAGTCGTTGTCGTAACTACAATCCTTAAAGCAAACTTCGCATGATAGTGACTTCTTCGGGTACTCCAAGTTAGAGGAACATAAGAAATGTGCTGCTACAATTTGTTCACAGACCACCCGTCCTGACAGGATTAGAAAGTTTAGAAGGGAGCAGCCTGGGCCCCGCCTCATCGGTGGGGAAAATGGAACCTCTCCGATATTTAGCCCCCTCTCCCTAGAACCCGGGTAATCTTAACAAAAACCCAATTGATAAATGTGCCTTGAATATTTAACCATTGGTTTAAGAGTGTGGAAAAACTCGATTAAAAAGCAGTGATATTTGATGACGTTACTAAACATTCGGTAGATTGTTGTCAAGCTCTGCGTATAAAGCGTATTCGTTATTAAATCTATTTTTAAATTTACTACTTATGGCGGTTTTAATTGGCCGTATATAACCAGGTCCATGTTTATGGTTAAAATCAAGAGGAAATGAGCTAGACAATTCTCTTGTGGTTGAAATAACATAAAAAAAGATACACATGTACATGAAGAAGTCCAGTGGTTTAAAAGGAAAGGAAAAAGAACTTTGTACTCAAAATTTATACATATGACTGTTTTGCAATACAATACATTAAATATGCACCCTTAGAAAAATACAAATCAGTCGTAAGCATGACGTGCTTTTACTTTTCAAGAAATTAATTGTTAAGAACATAGCCTGCATCACAGGCGTATTTTGGGCGGGCGAATTTAAGTTGTTGTTTATGTTGGCATTTTTGAAGCCGCCATCTTGGATTTTGTGACAGAGGAACATTGGGGACAGTAGAACTGAATAGCAGCCCTTAGGGTACCACTGTAGATTACAGTGTTTTCACAAAAAGTGATTGAAGGCTAATACATCGAATTTCCACGCGTGACCTTTTTTGTTAAGACAACACTCTTTCCCTCCTTCTATTCTACCAGCTTTAGCTGAGGTACGAAACATGCCTAGTCCCTAGGCCTCATTATTCTGCGCGGCCAAAGCGTTTCGGGTCACGTGGTCCAATCGAGGCAAGTATGAAACTACGTGAGCGTTGCTTAATTCAAATTCGCGCACACTGCCAATATGTTAACTAACTATTTGAATGTATCTAATCCGTTATAGCTATGTCATTCAAAAATCCTTTACGGATTTTTTTTCACAAATGAAATGGCATGGTTATAAAGGAGTTGTTCTTTAAACGATTAGTTGAACATTTTGGAAACGTGAGCGCATTCGAATTGCACAACGCTTGTGTCAGATGTTTCATTTCAGACCTACACATATGATTGACTACTATAAACACTTTGTGTAAAAAGCCTGTAAAAAGTGACTAAAAAAGGTGTATAGCGAAACAAGCGTCCACCAAGCCAATTTTGTGGTAAACGATAAGGTATTTTTTTTAATCGGTTTTCGTCAACTCTTGCCGCCCGGTATAAAATGCAGAAATATAATCTGTTTGATTTTTACGTTAGATACTACTTTAGAACGCTGTGCGTTCTGTTTAATTGTTACGTTAGACACTGATAAAGCGCTCTCAGATCTCGTAAAGCCTCTTGGTATCACATTCCTCCTCAACGAATTGGTTATCTGGAATCCCCAGTCTTTTATATAAAACTGTGCAACAGATTTACGAGCAGAACCATGATACTCAACTCCAAATAAGTAGACATGATTAACGCCTATTTAATCCCTATGCAGCTTCACAGTGACTGTTTCTATATAATCTGCATGCTCTGCACTGATTGGCTGTTCATTTGAGTAGACATTGTTTTACTTTGCACTGAATTGTTTTTTATCGCTTGCGGTGTGATACTTCGCTGTTTTAACAATTCAGTGTATCCTTTGGTTAGCTAAGGTCTATGATACTTCGAGGCTGGGCGTAAGCCAACACGTCTCAGGCTGAGGGCTGAGGGCAGCTGGGGACCCGAAACCGCGTCTAAAAATTCTCTCCCATACAGAGTAGCTAGCGGAAGCTCGAGCAAGTGGCCAAAAATTGTAGCATTGATAAAACAAAACGTTCAGGCCTAGTACTGCCAGTTTCATAGTGCACAGAATGACGTCGCGCGTGTTGTTGTAGCCATATAATAAATAAAAATATTCTCATCTTTTTATTCATGTTTATTAAGATGAATGACCTTTATGGAGTGACCAAGTCTTCTGAAGTACAAACCAAAACCGATACTCAATAAACAGAAGATCTGTAACAGAATAGCGTAAATGGTGGCTTCGATTTACTGTATTTCCTCTACGGAGAAATTCATAAAGCATACAATTCCAGAGTAAGAGTAATCCTAGCTCAAATCAGGAGTAAGCCCCTCGGCCCCCGGAAACAAACGGAGCACTCAAGAAGATCCGATACAGTACATCTCACGTTTCAGATTTTTTCTTTTTTAATCGGCCCGTAACCAGTAATGAGACATCACCACTGATTCTTTAAAATCTATTCCACACCACAAGATTAAAATGTCCGATCACGTGCAGACTTTATTTATCTATACATACACCCTACCATGGTAACAAGTAAAGTAAGGCTGACCACGCCTAGTCGAAATCCTCATACCTTTAAGGCACACAGCTAGAGAAATGAAACGCTTAGAAATTATTGCTAACAGCAATTGGCTCTATCAAACGTTCTACAACGTTGGTGTACCCTGGTCTAACAGTCTATCATAATCACAGATGCTAATCATGATGTTATTAAAGAAATTTAGTCGGTTATACAGCCAGACCATCATATTGCATTATAAATAGTGCTATACGCTTTCTAAGACGCACTTTGTCTCTTCCCTTTTTCCTAATCCTTTATCATGTAATTATGTACTTTCTGTGACTTACATCAATGTGATTGAATAAAATAAATGATCACTATGGCGCTCTGAGACAGTTCTACAACGTTGGTATACTATGTGGTGGCGTTCTACGAGAAACAAAGTCTATGATCAGGTTGTTAGGATTGGTGATCGTCGTGGCCCTCTAACACAGTTCTAAAAGTTCACCGGTCTGATCTTCATCTCAACTCTCTTTGCAGAGTAGAAATGTCCTTTCCATGCATACCAGTTGACACCATCAGCATGAGATGAATGTGAACCATGGTGGTACAAACCATTCAGATTGGAACCATGACAGTTTTTGTACCACCAGGCTCCTTTGTAGGACACAGCACAGTTCCTTGATTTGTCGCTATCATTATCTTGGTCTTTAGTGCTAAATGACTGGCCACGATGCACAGAAAAAGAGTCGCCAGCGGTTCCTGGGATTAATAATACAAGAGAATTTTACCAGGAATTTTTGATTTTTTAAATAGACAATCTGAAAATAATGTGTAGTATTGAAGTGTAAGAGAAAGGTCGCTTTGGGGAATTTAAGCTGTATAAGTGTAAGGACCATGACGATGTCAAAGAAAGCCCATAGAGACATATTATGAATATTAAACGATAATAATAAAACATTGAACGCAATTTTTTAGAGGCGATGTGTCATTAGTTCACCTGAATAAGTTCCTAAACTAAGCTGGTACTTAGTCCTCTCGCTTGTAACAGCAAACATGTCGTATTCAGCGTAAGCGGTTTTTCCTGTAGTGTCCTCTAGATCAACTCGAAGCCTGTTATTTGATTTGGTCAGCCGGTGAATCTTGTCCAATCCAAGCCAAAACTCGCCATTCAGGTTACCAAACCCCCGCTTGTAGTCAGCCCAGCCGCGGTAGAAATCAACCGAGCCGTCCAGTCTCTTTTGGAACACTGTCCACCCCCCTCCGGTTGTTGTTTGGTCGCAGAACACATCAAAGGCACCTTGACCATCAGGGTCGATTGTATAAACACTGCTGATTCTTTCGCCAGCTTTGTAAAGCTCAGCACAGTTCTTTTTAGCTGTTAAGAAAAGATTGCCTTATATTATTTTCAATTGTGATTATGCGCCGGTTTTGAAACCCGCACTCCCTAGTTACACAATTTACTCTATTTCTCTCCCGCTATCCGCCCCTCCCATCCTTAACATTTTAAAGCCTCCTCTCCCGGGCCTCACGAGGTTCTGCCCGCATTTCTAGTTATGAAAATGACAAGGATGACTTGTTCGACGTCTAGCATGCAGAGGGAAAGAATTATTGCAGATTTTGGTCTCACTTAGTATGTTTAGGAAGGAAAGGCAACATTTCATTCATGAAGGTATCGCTTAGTGTTATTCACAAAGAAATGGATAAATGCGATCACACTGTTTTAGAGCACGGCTCCTTTAACCTTCAAACCCTAAGATTAAAATTGAGATTCTCATTTACTGGCCTTATACTTTTTCAATAGAAGTAGTGGGGAGAATTTGTTGAAATATCAGATATACTTATCTTCCCTGATCATGTACTCAATTCTCATGACCACTCTGTTTTCTAAAGCATTGATATTACAAGGAGAAATTTGATGCTGATCTCTCTTAGGGCTCAAACTGGGTTAATTTAGGGATAAAATAATTCCTGCGCCAACGCCCAGATTGGTCTCCTTTGGGGGAATAAGAGTCTCCTCTGGGGTAGGAGCCATATTACTAATAATCGGTAGACACCTAGAATATTATTCTATATGCAAACGATTTCTTAATAATGAGATCACAAGGGCACAATTGATATTATTTTGAGAAAACTGCGCTAATGAACTAAGTTATTGAGGCAGCGACTTTTAGATTATCCGGATTATCCTATCTTGGTTCGGTTATTCAAAGACCGGTATTCTTTTAAAAACGAGAGAAGTTGCTAGTCTCTATTTTTTTTCTACTTTGTACTTAGTTTTAAAGAAAGTGGACCAAGGCTCTCTTTTTATATGGGACTACTTGAAAGGGTTTGTTATCCCTAGTTAGGAACGTGCCAGTCAAGAATTCTTCCTTCAGTCACACCAGGAGGAATAGCCTGTGTACAGACGTCCCCCCTCCCTCAGATTTTTTCTGAGGGAGGGGGGACGTCTGTACACAGGCTACAGGAGAAAGTGCTTCGAATCAAAGCTGTAGCCTTTCTATCAACAGCTCAGCCCTGTTTCAAACGTCGTGCTACTGCCGCGCTAAGCTGGCTCGTCTGTAGCTCGACTGCAGCACGACACTAGCACGACTTGGTTTCAAACGCGGAATTTAGTTAAGTCGAATAGAACGGCTGTTGCCGAAAGCAAAACACAAAAATAAAGAAACGGTTTAGCAAACTTTTAAATGTATTCTAATGTATTTATACAGTATGAATTGAGTTCGGCGCGGCAGTAGCACGACTTGGTTTCAAACGTCGCGCTACTGCCATGCTAAAGTCGAGTTTAATTCGATCAATTGAGTTCGGCACGGTAGTAGCACGACGTTTGAAACGGGCCTCAAAAACCTAACGTACAAGTTCGAGTCATGAAATCTGTTTTAAAGATAAATAAGTGGTTATCATGCGATTCCCTGTTTATCGAAGTATTAAAAACTCTTATGATCATCATGATAACACGAAATAAATCCCAAGGACTGAGTGGCACTTAATTAGTTGGTCTAGGCACCTGACCGCTAGGAATATATACCTTTCTGATTAGTCTTGTTTCCTTTTAGAACATTGATGTCAGTCTGTACTTGAGTGAGTTGTTCCTTTATTTCTTTCAGCATTGTAGCGATCTTCTCGTTGGGCGCCTCGTAGAAATACACATTATTGCAATGTTGGGTTTGATTAGGCACCGAGGCATAACCTGCAAGTCTCTTTGCTGGTTTAGCGAAAGTTTGCTGGCTGTTCACAAACAACAGTAAGATCAGAAGACTCCAATTTGAAGACACGAAAGCACAAAACATCGTGCTTTTTCACTATATTTCCAACTTTGAATGGCAATGTAAAGTCCTAATAGACAATTGAAAACTGAGATTCAACTTATGATCTGATACAACACAATGTTTTTCCACATGTTTTTTTGTGCTGTGGGTTGATACAAGACATTTCTGGACTTTGGAATCTGATATCTGAGCATACCTTGTATTACAGAGTAAATAAGGATAATAAATTCCCTCACATATACTAAACACGCATTACTAAACGTGTTCTCAGTCATGAAATCGCACCTCTCCTTTACACCTGTAGTTTATGTCCTTACCATTTGAAGCTATTTTTATTCGTGAAATGTCTTTAACTTTTTGTTGGATTTCAGTTGACAGTAGCTGTATTACAGCGGACTACTCTTTGGTTTTAAGTCCAAAAGACGTGTGAAACAAAAAATAGGAAATGTCTGCATGCAGGCTTATGGATTAACGCAGAAACAACCACTTTCCATGAATGTCACAAAGGGGTTTTTGGTCAGTAAGTGGACGCCAACGCAAGAAATCCGGACAAAGGTTACCAAGCAGAGCGAAAACTTTTGCGGGTATCACTATCTAGTAATTTAGGTTTCTGCATTCAAAAGAACGGACTTTATCATGAATGCATTTACAGCAACTTATTTTTCTATCCTTTAGATCATCGACGCGAAGTATTCCTTCCTAGAATGTATTCGATTATTTACAGATCTGAAAATGAACCCAGTTTGGCGGGGCATGGGATGGGATCTCCCTTAATTTTTGCTTAGCTGTAGAACTTAAACCTTGGTCCTATTAAAGGGAAATTCATAATGGTAATGCGACTGAGTGGAGTCCAATTCGGTCTTTAATCATATGAGTGATTAGTGAACTTACGCAGCAGGACGGGAGAGGAAAGAAGACGGCAAACTTTGTGTGACAAGCGTGGCAATAATTTTGTTTCAAAAAACCTTTCGCCAAACTTCACCTTTCTTTAAACATGATAAAGTTTTTCCAATTAGTGGGAAAAAGTTTCGGTAAGAATCGTGTAGACTTTGAAGATTTGGAAAACGGTCAGTAACTTAACGTATTGTCATTTTTTTATTTACAGTTGTAGTCTTCTATGTTCTATGACTTCTATTACCCCAACGAAAAGTGATACCCCATGAAAGGGAGAATCAACGAAAATTGTGTGAATGGTGGTCTTAATATATTTTCTCTACGGGGGCATTCATAAAGCGTGCAGTTCTAGAGCAAAGGCTATGCTAGGGCAGTTCTAGAGTAACCACTCCCTCCCACCTTCCTACGAAACGGAACAGAGCACTCAAGAAGACGCTAGGGGTCAGTTTTTCAAAGCATAACACCTTACGTTTCAGACTGACCGTTTGAAACTGGCCGGTAACAGGAGTTTATGGGCTCCTGCCGGCAACCAGTGGTGAGGCTTTCCACTGGAGACAACTTTCATGCATGCCTAGGTTATTTAGATGCTTTAAAAATCTATTCCATATACAAGATTAACATGTCATGTGACTTTATTCATCTATCAATATACCCTACCGAAGGAAAGTTAAGTGAAGGCTGGCATGTTAACTTGTCGAAATACGTATATCTTTAAATCATACAACTAGAAAAACGGAAACGCCTAGAAACGCTTATTATCCGGGTAACAGCAATTGACTCTACCAATAGTTCTACAACGTTGGTGTACCATGGTCGAACTGTCTATCATATTCAAAGTCTATGCTCAGCTTGTTGGGGGTGGTGATCTTCATGGCACTATAAGATCGTTCTAAAAGTTCACTGGTCTGATTTTCATCTCAGCTCTCTTGGCAGAGTAGTAATATCCTTTCCATGTTCTCCAGTTGACACCATCAGCATACGATGAATGTGAACCATGGTGATACAAACCATTCAGATTGGAGTAGTGACATCCATGGTACCACCAAGCTCCTTTGAAGGTCAAGGCACAGTTTCGGGATGATTCGCTACCATTATCTTTAGTGGCAAATGGCTGGCTACGATGGTAAGATAAAGAGTCACCTGCAGTTCCTAGGAAAAGTATATTCAAGAATATCTGAATGTAATATAAAGTATTTAAGTGAATGAGAGGGGCTGATTTGGGAATAGTTGAGAAGTTCCTTTTGAATCTCCATAAAGTTATTAAGTTTCCAAGGTTATTAATATAACTAAGGACAATAAAGAAGGCAAGGGAAGTGAGACGACGTGAATAAAAATACAATATTAAATGCAATTTTTCACACTCTATGTCTGTAGTTTACCTGAGTAACTTCCTAGACTAAGCTGGTACTTAGTTTCCTCGCTTGTAACAGCAAACATGCCATATTCAGCGTAAGCGGTTTTGCCAGTAGTGTCCTCCAGATCAACTCGAAGCCTGTTATTTGATTTGGTCAGCCGGTTAATCTTGTCCAGTCCAAGCCAAAACTCGCCATTCACGTTACCAAACCCCCGCCTGTAGTCAGCCCAGCCGCGATAGAAATCAACCGAGCCGTCCAGTCTCTTTTGGAACACTGTCCACCCCCCTCCGGTTGTTGTTTGGTCACAGAACACATCAAAGGCACCTTGACCATCAGGGTCGACTGTATAAACACCGCTGATTCTTTCGCCAGCTTTGTAAACTTCAGCGCAGTTCTTTTTAGCTGTTTAAAAAAGATTTCCTGCAAATTATTTTCAATCTCAGTCATGGGTAGAAGACGCCACTGGGAGGCTAGGACGCCTATTCACTCTTCCTGCCGCACCCTGCAGGCTTAGCTCCCAAAAAAGTGCTGTTATAAATGGGCATGCGAGTATTTTTCTGGCTTATAATGGTACTATAATTCTAATGATGATATTAATTTACTGAACTTATTTGGATTGATGATAATCTATCCACAGTGAAATAATTCTTCGTTTTGAGTAGCAGTACTGACTTTAGCGCCCGGGAGAACGCCCTTAGGATTATGAACAATTTTAAGTGTTAAAACGCTTACTTCTCACTAAAGACAAAATGTTGGCTTAGGGAAGGGGTAGGTGGGCAATTTTCCAGAAACGAATAATGATCCAAAATGTTGAGGAAGGAAAAATACAGATTTTGGTGTCACTTATATTTTTGCCGAAGGAGGTATCGTTTAGGGTTAATAGCAAAGAAATGTCTTAATAGAAAACAAATGACGCTGTACTGTGTTGGAGTATAGTCTCCTTTAGGGGTCCAAAAAAAGCCTTAGACACGCTCAGATTTACTCTCCTTCGGGGGTGTGGGAATCCGGGGAATCCCCTCCTGGGGGCAGGATCCCTGTTACTAGTAATTGTAGACATTTAGTAGATTATACTACATCGTCTGTAACTGCATCATGCAAACGAATACTTAATGAGATTCTGTGGGCACAACTGATATTTTTTTATTAGAAAATTACTTTAATGCACTAAGTTATCGAAGCAGCGAGTTACGTTTGCTTTATCCGGATTATCCTAAGTTGGTTGGGTTTTTCAAGGACCGACAATCACTTAAAAACAGGAGATGCTACTAGCCACTGTTTTTTCTATCTTTTACTAAGTTTTAAAGAAAGTGGACCAAGGCTGTCTTTTTATATGGGAATTACTTGAACGAGTTTGTTAGCCCTAGGTAGGAACGTGATCAAGAATTCCTTTCTTCAGCCACACCACAGGAGGAAGTGCTTCGAGTCAAAGCTGTAGCCTTTCTATTAACAACTCAAAAGGCCTCACGTAGGGGTTAGGACATCTGGCCCGGTTGTTCAACTGTTGGATAGCGCTATCCACCGGATAATTTACAATTATTGGACGAGGTTGAGCAAAATATCGTGATTTGTCTGTGGCGAGCAGATCAATTATTTGCCGAAGCCGAAGGCTGAGGCAAATAATTGTATTCAGTTTTGTTTTATTTTACACTTTAAGTAACGCCGTCTGGCTACAGCATGTCTTTGATTAGAGATCCGACAAGGGGAACCGGTCAGTTATATTTACGTGTTGCGCGGACCTCTGCATTCAAACAGTGTTTTCACCTTTAGAGGTCAGCTTAAGCCACACCCAGATTGGTATCCTTTTGGGGTATGGGAATTCCCCCCGGGGCAGGAACCTTGTTACTAATAATTGTAGACATTTAGAAGGTTATTCTATATCGTCCTTGACCGCATCATGAAAACGGTTAATAAATGATGTTATGTGGGCACAATTGACATGATTTTCACAGAACTAAGTTATCGAGGCCTGGACTTGCTATTTGCTTTATCCAGACTAACCCATCTTGGTTCGGTTATTCACCGATCGACATTCACAGTCGTGTGATAAAAACGGGAGATGTAGTTAGTCTCTACTTTTTGTCTACCCAGGACACAGGTTGTCACCCTATATGGGAAGAACTTGGAAGAGTTTGTTTGCCCTGGCGGTAAGGAAGCGTGATCAAGAAATTCCTTCCTTCAGCTTCACGGCTATATGGCGAAAGTATTTCGGGTCAAGTTAGCTGTAGCCTTTCTTTTAACTGTTCAAAATCCTCACGTTGAGGTTGCTTTTATGATATCCGGTTTAAAGAGATTAATAAAATAGTTGTTGTGCGATTCCCAGTTTATCGGAGAATTAAAAAGCTCGTATGATAATTGTGATAACACGAAATATATTCCGATGACTGAATTGCATTCGATAAGTGGGTCTAGACACACACAAAGACAGTAAGGAGTTCATACCTTTCTCATTAGTCTTGTTTCCGATCTTTTCATTGATGTCAGTTTGTACTTGAGCCAGTTGTTCCTTTATTTCTTTCAGCATTGTAGCAATTTTCTCGTTGGGCGCCTCGTAGAAATACACATTATTGCAATGCTGGATTTTTTTAGGAACCGTGGTCGTACCTGCAAGAGGTCTCTTTGCTGGTTTAGCGAAGGTTTGGTGGCTGTTCACAAACAACAATAAGATCAGAAGACTCCAACTTGAAGACACGGAAATACAAGACATCGTGCTTCTTCACTTTTCCTACGTTAAATGGCAATATCAAGGGGTGTACTGTAAACTAAGACCTACTGACCTGCGCGAAAAAAGATGGGCAGACAAAAATTTATTTCCTGATCCCGCGAGAAGGAAATCGATGGCCCTCGAGAAAGGTTAAAGGGAAGTAGGTACATGCTTAGTGTGTATTGCATCTGTCACGTGCCGGTGTTTTCGGGACACCCCAGTGCAAAGTCCAAAAAGACAACTGAAAACCGGAATGCAACGTATCCTTCAAACACAATTAACAACAACAACAAAAAAATTGTGCCATGCGGATACCAGACTTTTTGGTCTTTCTAATGTGATAAGTAGTATTGCACTGTAAATACGGATTAGAAATTCCGTCACTATAAATTACAATTTAACCAAACTAAATTCTTCTTTATGATTTTTTTATCAATACTAAATATGCTTTGAAAACACTCTTTAGTATTCGCAAAATTATAATGTGGAGGGTTTTCCTGTCCTAATCGCCATCTCATTCTGAGATGTCAAAGTCGGGACAATCTGTTATTATTATTATTGAGTCTTTCTCTAATAGGGTCCTGACTGCCTGCTTCAGTGGTCGATCCGAGTGCGCGAGGGTCGGAGGAGTCCGAAAAGCCGTAGTGATATCCGTCACGTCAGTCGGCAACTTCGTACCCAGGGCTTTTACCTTTTCCCATATTTTAATGGAAAAGGCCTGAGGACGAGCTTGGTCCGACCTACGGATTCTTAGGCTATGTTGACACTATACCGGAATGGTAGAACACCTATCCGATATGTGACTCTGCTTTAGAGATCGGCGCCGCGGAGCTTCTTCGCGACGCCACAGCCGTTCTTTTGTGTTAACAGGAGCCCTATCCCGTATGATTTTCGTGGTGGCGCAAAAGCTATCCGGTGTAGCAGTGGCGGATCTAGGGAGGGACCCGTGAGGCCCGCCCCCCCTTACTTATTTTGAGCCTAAACTGAGGCCCGAAGGGCCAAAAAAATTTTTGAAGAAAAAAAAAAATTGTACAACAGATTTACCCGCTCCACCATATCAGCATTGCAATATCCAACAGTTTGCGTCCGTTGCACTGGGCTTTAGTATCACATTTGTCTTTAACCAAGCGGTTACCTGGGATATCGTAGACAAAAAATATAAAAACGGATTTACCCGCACCACCATATACACCCATTTTCACCTTAAATAAGTAGATATGATAATGGAACGTCCATTCTCTGTGCCACTTAGGAGACAGCGTGGCCGAGTGGTCAGCGCGTCGGACTCGCAATCCGGCGGTCCCGGGTTCGAGTCCCGCTCTGGCCACTTGCTGGATTTGTGCTCGGTCGTCCCGAGTTCAAATTCTCGGCCACGCTTGTAAAAAGCCAACTGGTTGTCTCCTGCCAGTTGGGGTTTTTTAATCCTATTATGTTGTATTTGAATTATTTGTTTCTAATATTTGAGTGGAGTGCCTGTAAATTAGCTGGATAAGCTAAGTGCTCTTTCCACTATAAACAAGCCTTTAACCTTTTTTTTTTTTAACTTCACACTGACTCTTTTAACATAATGTGCCTGCTAACTGAGCCAAGGCTATTCTCAGAGGAGACAATGTAACGAAGTTTTGCTAACCTTTGACTTGTTTTCACAGTTTAACAACACGTTTTGTCTACTAATCTTTTTCGGTTATATACGTTAATCGCTTGTTCATTGCGCAAGAAAGTCACCTGGATGCGCGAGACTATTAAGAACGGTTGCTCCGCGTTGTAAGCATTCCTAAATGTGTTCTAAGCTTGAAATCGCACCCCTCCTTAGCACCCGCATCGAACCCGCAGCTCATGTGCTTACCATTTCAAGCTCTTTGAAATCGTGAAATATCTTTACTTGTTGGATTTCAGTTGGCAGTAGCTGTGACTGCGGACTATTAATTTCTTGTTCAAAGCGTAAAAGACGTGTGAAAAAAAGAAAATAGGAAAACGTTTGAATGCAGGCTCGTGGAGAAAGGCAGAAACAATCACTTGCCGTTGATGTTGCTAAGTGCTGTTTGGTTAACAAAAGGACGGCAACACAAGAAATGCACAGAAAGGTAACCAGTCAGAGCAAAAACTGCTGCGGATATTGATCATCCAATAGAAGGCAACATTGGAAAGCGAGAAGACCCTGGGGACGAGGTTGAAAATTAGGTTTTTGGGAAACTGGCAACCTACCCCTCCCCTAAGACAACATAAACACTTACTTCTCACGTAGGGCAAATGCTGGCTTAAGGGTAGGGTTGGGTGGACAATTTCTTAGAAACCTAACTTGATCCAAGAACGCACCTTATCGTCGTTGTATCATGAACCCAATATCTTATTTTTCTATCTTTGAGATCATTGATCCGATGTATCCCTTCCTAAAATGCATCACGATAGTTCACTTATCTGAAAAGCATAAAGTTCTTGTAAGGGTAATTTTAGGGCAATTGTATTGTAGACTTCCTCTCCCCTGGAAACAAACGCGTGAGGGATCAATATTTCAAAGGAACGCACCTCACGTCTCAGACTCAGACTAGTCTCTTTAGAACCTAGAACCGTCTCGTAATTCAAAACGACTGCCGGCCTTCAGCTGGTTAGATTAAAACGGAGTTGATTTAATTCTTTTATCAATGTACCCTACCGAGTGAAAGTTAAGTGAGGTCGGACACGCGTACTCGAAAATTCTTATACCT